ATAGAATTTCAAGCCAGGGCTTGGTTGAAAAGAACAAAAACAAACAAGTGTTAATATTTTCCTTGCTTCCCTTTTTGTCTCCCAGGTCTCTTAACGTTTATAAACTGTGCCTACGTTAAATGGGGAACAAGGGTGCAGGACGCATTCACCTATGCCAAAGTCATTGCCCTTATTGTCATCATCGTAACAGGAATTGTTAAACTATGCCAGGGTAAGACTGATCACTTCATGTATAGAGAATAGTGGATGGTAGACTTAGTTATGGGTTCAAGTGGTGCATGTGGATTAGCAGTTACTAATTTATGTACTTTCAGCATCTTCAGTGATACACTGTCCATTATTTTTGTCTGATCCAAATCAGTTTTTTGCCTGAGAGACATCCTTTGCACAGCTGGGGACTTCCTTTGTGAGTCTTTGCAGGGTGTGTCTATGTATGTATAAAAGAATACATGTATACATATGTATGCAAGAAATAAAAAGAAGACTAGGAATGGGAAGGGCAGCTATGAAAGAACTGGAAAAGATACTGAAGAGCAAAGACATACAACTGAGCACTAAAGTCAGAATTATTCAGGCCACTGTTTTCCCTTTTACCATGTATGGATGCAAGAGCTGGACAATGAAGGAAGCAGACAGAAAGAAAATCAACTCATTTGAAATGTGGTGCTGGAGAAGAGTCCTTAGGATCCCATGGATAGCCAAGAAGACAAACAAATAGGTTCTTGAACAGGTCAGACCAGGGCTCCCCTTGGAAGCAAAGATGATCAAGTTGAGACTATCGTACTTTGGCCACATCATGAGAAGGCAGGGATCACTAGAAAAACTCCCAATAATGCTAGGAAAGGTAGAGGGTAGAAGAAAGAGAGGAAGACCACAGACCAGATGTATAGACTCGATCAAAGGGGTTATTATGGGGAAGGGCTTGCAGGATCTGGGCAAGACAGCAGTGGAAGAGAGGGACTCTTCTTGGAGATGTCTCATCCACAGGGTCGCCAGGAGTTGGAACCAACTCGAGGGCAGCTAACAACAAAATATGTATGTATGTATATTTATGTATATATGTATATTTGTGTGTACACACAAACACACACATGTATGTATGTATGTATGTGTATATATATATATATGTGTGTGTGTGTGTGTGTCTATATCTATCTATATCTATATATATCTGTGTGTCTGTGTGTGTTCATGCTGTCTACAGCATGCTCCCTGCTCCCTAATAATAATAATAATAATAATAATAATAATAATAATAATAATAATAATAAAATTTATTTATATACCGCCCTTTGGTAAACCAATCAGGGTGGTTAATACATTAAAACATCATACAAAGTAAAACAGTATACTCCCCTCCCCCCTTAAAAAAAGCATCCCTGTAGTGGATGCTTCCATTAAAAGAATGCATGTCATCAGATGCTTTCATACAATTAATTTCATGTTTGGTCTGGCCCACAGACTTGGGTATATCCTGTAAAGTGTATTATGTTTGTTTTAATACTAGTTTGGCCTCACAGCTAACCATGTCAACATGGCCACACAGCCCGAAAAACCCACAAAAAACTAACCATGTTAACATTGTTTGAAGGGAGTCTGTATGACTACTGCATGCAAATCACTGACAAAGTTGTAGCCAAATGCTAAGTGCATTTTCTCCTTGATTCATTTTTTACTTTTTTATTGTTCACTGTAGAACAGCTGGGCCTGCTGACTTGTTTTTCCCATGAGTTATAGTATCCTAGCTATTGTCGATTTATCAGGAGTTTTTCCCTTTATTTTTCAGGAGAGGGGAAAAAAACCACCCTTTGATTCCTGTTTGTTTTGGAAGCTTTCTTAATATGCTGACTTGAGAAAATAGGAAGCCTGCATTTCCATTGTGCTGAAAATGCAGTTTTATGTTTTGTTTTTAAAGGATTATATACTGTTTTCTGTCTTCGTGTATCAGGCCTGGGCAGAATGATATACAGTGACAACAAAAGGTGTATTTTCCGACAATGCAAATTTTACTTTTAGTATCACTTGATTTTTCTGTCATAATTTGGTTGCCATTCTCAGTTCTTGGTTGCAGTCTGCCTTTAAGTCATTTCTGACTTAGGGCAACCCTAAGGCCATCTCAGGGTTTTCTGGGGCTGAGAGTGTGTGACTCGTCCAAGGTCACACAGTAGGTTTCCATGGCCATGTGGGGAAACAAACCCTGATCCCCAGAGTTATAGTCTAAAACTCAAACCCTGTATCACATTGGTTCTCAGTGCTTTAGGAGCCAATGTGATGTAAATGGCGAAAAGATAAAATCAGACATTCCACAATCATCTTAAATATTGCAGATATTTCGAGGGAGATGATTTGAGACATTTTTAAAAATTACTCCAGTAATTCATGCCAGGTAAAACAAATAATATTGTTGGCCTTCCTTTTTCATGGACCCCCCCCCCCCCGGCGAAAACGGAGACTCGCCAATACTCAAGCCCCATAGGCTTGAATAGAGCGCACTTTTATTTTCCAGCATGATATTATGCTTTTTCTACACCATTTAATAGATTAGTTACAAGTAATGTATGCATTGTAATTTTTATACCTAGTAATTTTTTTTAAAAAAAAGAAGAATGAGAATTTAAAGGTAGAATAGATTTGCCACTGAGATTAACATCTCTATCAGAAATAGCCACATAAATTTACATCATTAGGGGGATAAAGACATTTTAAAAGTGTGCATGTTTTGACTCTTGGTTCTATTGATTATTCCATTTTTATTTATATACTTTGGCAAGAACATCCATTCAGTTCCGTCAACCGCAGTCTGAATTGTCTTTAGCCATGTGTGTTTTTGATACTGCAAATGAATTGGATAAATGCTGAAATGAGCTTCCCCAAAAAACAAGAAGAGTGTTAACTAATCGAAATGACCCTCTTGGCCCTGAAAGGCATCTGGTGGAAAAAATAGAAGGTTTATAGTTTATACATACAGTAGAATGAGGTGTTAGACTGGATTGTTTCTGGGGAAGCTAGAAATGTCATTTCATAGATGGTTCTTCAGGTATTAATGCACACACAGATATAATTTTAAAAAATGAATTCTCCTGCATGTGTAGAAGAGGCTTTGGAGCACCTCTTGAAAGAACCTCAGTTTTTTATTCTTCTCAGTTTATTCTCAAGTCATGTTTACCAGAGTAAAACAGTTTCATCTTGTAATGTATCATAGAATCATAGAGTTGGAAGAGACCACAAGGGCCATCCAGTCCAGCCCCCTGCCATGCAGGAACTCCCAATCAAAGCATACTAGTGGTTTTCTCCTGTTTTGATGGGCTAAATGCCTCTGTAATAAATGCTGGCAGGTAGGTCCATGGATCCCCACCAGATTGTTATTTATGATCCCTTCATATACTTTTCTTGTCAGTGATTCCCTTGTCTGTAGAAAGAACCCTGATAAAAGATACATCTTACGTGAAAGAGACAGCCAGGCTCTTGGTTGCATTATAGTTTTGGGCAGCACCTTGTATTCAGAATCTGTAAAAATGAAGACAGAATTCATCTCTATCCTTTTGGCACACTTAATCATGAATTTAATTCAATGCATTTGGTGCATTCATTTCCTGGAGTTGCTTTTCTCTTTCCCCATTTATTTATTTTATGTATTTATTTTGCTGCTTTTCCTCGACACGTAGGATATTCACAACACTTTCAGGACTCTTTTGAGGGATCATCTTGGAACCTCGGGGGCATTTCTCTTGCACTTTATTCTGCCCTGTTCTCATACTCAGGTTGGGACACCCTCAACTATGTAACTGAAGAAATCAAAAACCCTGAGAGGTAAGTTTCTTGAAGCTCCGTTAAATTTGTCTGGAGTACTCCACAAGAGTTTGCGGCTAAACATTTGTCCCCAGTTGACAGTAGACTTGGATCTCAGTAGCTGAAGAAACATTTTATGCTGTTGCTAACAACTCTGAAGCCTAACAGTCTAAAGGACAAACAACAGGATTATAAAGCTTAGAAGAGGCTTGTCTGGCTGCAGCAAAGCTCATATTGTGTCTATCTTCCAGGGTTAAAAAGCATCATGCACTGCAGCATTTCATAGATGGAATTCAGGACACATATGGCCAAGTAATATCAGAGTTTGGTCAAGATGGCAAACATTATTAATGAGAAAAGCAACCACAAGCTAAGAGAAGCTGCAGCAGTTTACTTTTGCTTGACCGTACTGAGAAAGGCAAACTTCTAGCCTCTCTTCCCCTCTCTTCTGAATTAATTGACTGCAAATTATTTTGGCACTCAGTTTGCAGTAACGGAAGTAAGCTGAAGACAAAAAGGGGAAAGTGGGAGGAGGAGAGCAAAAACTGGGACATTTTAAAAGCAGGTGAAAAAGTGGGACAATAGAGGATTAATCAGGACTGTCCCTACCAAACTGGGACAGTTGGAGGACCTGTCATTCATGATTAGCGATAACTGACTTGATAAATTAATTTTACATTATGAAAGTACACTGACTTTTAACATTTTTCCAGAAGTATCAATGGAGTCTTTAATAATCAGTGGGAATATTGCTAGGAGAGTTGAGATAACAATACAAACATGTGATACATAGCCTTTTGGCTGGCTCTCACTACGCCAATATACCTGGGCTTGAATTACAACATTTTTCTCAATTGGCTTGTTTTGATAGGTGTCTTCATTTTTATATGAGCCTTAAATCAGTGTGAGATTGTAGGTTGCTGATATAGTTTGAATAATGTATTTGCCCAAATTTTGGGAAAAAAAGTAGACTCTACATCATGATGACAGTGACAATGATAGCAACAACAGTTACAGCAAGTAGTAGTAGTAACAGCAACAGTTGTTATGGTTGTAGTTGTGTGCCTTCAAGTCATTTCTGACTTATGGTGACCCTAAGGTGATTCTGTTGTGGTGTTTTATTAACAAGATTTATTCAGAGGATGTTGGCCATTGCCCTTCTCTCAAGCCAAGAGAGTAGGACTTGCCCAAAGTCACCCAGTGGATTTCCATGGCTGAGTGGGGATTTGAACCTTGGTCTACCAGAGTCCTAGTCTAGCATTTAAACCACTACACCATACTGTCTCATAGCAGTAGTAGTCATCAGGAAATAAAGGGTAATAAGTACTTCTACGTTTGTTCATGCGTATGTGCTTGTTTTGTTTTATTTAACCAGGAACCTGCCTCTAGCGATTGCAGTTTCTATGCCGATTGTGACCATTATCTACGTCATGACCAATATAGCTTACTATACAGTGCTGGATATTAATGCTGTACTTTCTAGTGATGCAGTGGCTGTGGTAAGTCTGAGAGTGCTATAATTTTTCAAGGTTTGGCTTAAATTCAATATAACGCTAAGGGAGTTTCATTTTATTTCCCTGTCTGTAACTGATAGCTTATTTGTTCTTGGTGCAACATCTGAATATGCAACTGAATGTACAGCATTTAGATTTTGAATGGGACAACCTGAAATAACTGGCTAGCATGTGATAAAGTTTGCTTTTAAGGTGTCATTGTACATTTTGTGACTTTAGAATCCTCGTCAGAGTCCTGTTGACTACATGAACAGTTATACTTTTTCCAAATTTGTGCAGCAATGGTGAAGAAAGGCAGACAAAACCTCCTGGTTCCAAGTATCCCATTTCTGTAGTGTCTTCCTTCTTTCACAGCTGCTGAATCCACCTCTTATCTTTTTCGCCTACCACCATGATTTATCTACGTAGCATAGTGCAACAATACAATTCTGTAGGTTTTCATGGAAGCTTACACAGACAGCCTTGCACTTCATTGGCTATTAGTCCACAAATGGATCTTATAGCCGCCTTGAGACTAACTGCGCAAAAGAAGTGGTAGCCTAAGCTTTCATAGACTTGGTCTACTTCCTCAGATGCAAGGAGTGAACTGGTGCCCAGGAAGTTTTGCATTTATTTGGCTATTCACATAATCTGTTTATAAATGTCTTTCCCAGGCACCAGTTCACTCCATGCATCTGAGGAAGTACACCAAGTTTGTTACAACTTCCTTGCACAGTTAGCCTCAAAGGTGCTACAAGATCCCTTTGCATATTAGGACTAGCACTAACACGACTGTTTCTCTGAATTAGTCCACAGGTTAGCTCCAAAAAGAAATATTTAAGAAAGGCAGCACTGATAGAAGTAAAGAAGCTCTCCAGACCCAAAAAAATTATGCAGAGAACTGCCTGTTACAAAAAAGATTGGGCGACTAAAGAAAATGGCAGTTGCTGCCTTCTCTGTTCCACATTATATTGTCTGTTTCTGCTTGATTATAATGTCATTTTTTTTTTTTTGCCCATTGGCTGATTGAAATACATAGTATAATACCCAAAAAGATATGAGACAAGTTGGTTTAGACATTGCAAAGGGGGACTGGGAAGAGGAGAAAAGAAATGTCTAAGAGAAAAGAGAAATTTGAGATGTGGCTGCCATTTCTGGGCTAATCCTAATATTCACTGTGATGTTTATATATTATTATATTATATGCTGCCTTTCTTCTGGAGAAGAACCCAAGGCGGCTCCCAAAAAGAAATCACTAAAACCAGAATAACAAAAGTTTAACCATAATTAAAATCACATTAAAACAATAGAAACTCCTTAAAAAGCATACAAAAGTTAAAATAAAGTGCATACGCATGGAAGGTTAGTAGGACCATGCCAATGTTCCTCTTCTATCAAAGAGGTGGGTCACAAAAGCAGATAAACAAGAAGAACATGATGCTGTCCACGTTCAGGTTCCACCTTTGTACAGCATTTTTACCATATCATTTGCAATATAAAAAGCAGCATGGAGACTGCTGAGATTTGGTTTTGAGGCAGAAAAAACACCATAATGCCATAAAAAGAGAAGCATACTCCTTTTGATTAAATAGATATCTGGCTGCAAGAGAAGGGATCACATTACAGCAGCTGCATGCCTTAACAAAATTCATCAGAAGAGTCCAGATGACTCAGAGTACCTTTGTTTACTTGCTTGGGAGTTGATCATGGTGATGAAGAACAGAAGTATATTGCTGCTTAGGATGATTTCGGGCGGAGGCTTATACAACAGATTTTTGTATTGTCTGACCTTATACAACAGAATTTTTTCTTTTTATTGTCTGACCTTGTACAACAAACAGAATTTTGTATTGTCTCACCGTCGTTCTGGTTAAAAGTGATTTCCAGGAATTCTTTAAACACAGTTGATTAAGGATGGCATCATTTTGCTTAAAAATCTCATACCAGTGGTTCCCAACTTTTCTTCTTTTTATACAGTGTGAACAATGAATGCTTGATTTCATTCAAGAATCACTTGAAATCCCACACTTAAAGTCCTTTATGATATATAGTTCATGGCATTTGCACTTGGCACCCCCATGATGTGGCTACAGAGTTTTCATGATCTACTATCTGGGATTCATTGGTCTGCCAAAGGAAATAGTCGCTGGTGATAACTCTTCTATTTTTAACCTTTGCAGTCTTGTTTATATCTGCAAATTTAATGGTAATTAGACTTGGCAGGAAGATTGTGGTCCAAAACACGCTGCAGAAATAATCTAGTTTAAGACTGCTTGAACTGCCCTGGCTCAGTGCTAGGGGATTCTGGGAACTGTAGTTTTGTGAGCCACTTAGCCTTCTCTGTCAGAGAGCTCTACAATTCCCAGGGCAGTTAAAGTGGCCTCAAACTGGATTATTTCTGCAGTGTGTTTCGGTCTTGTGTCTAACATTTGAAGATCCTTCAGCCATTTTTCTGTGTTGGCAGCTCTTGAAACCGCCACATTTTTTTCTGTTTTGAAGAATTCTGGTCTTTGAACACTGGAGGTATCTGGACATATTTGGACACTGCAGATTTTCAGTTTTAAAATACTTAAAGTCAGTTTGAGGAAAACATGTTGTCAATATCATTTTCATTGTGTGCTCCTCTGTTCCAGAAAGTTTCTTGTTAGCACCAGCTAATACTTTATACGAAATGCCTTCGATGATGTGTATGTTTTGGAAATCTTGTTTAAAGATTTTATTCAGAGCTATTCACAACTAAATAGTTACAACAACCTCCTTACTTATGGAACAACATGAATAAGGACTAGGAGTGTAATAGGTGACTACACACTTGCCATTTGTCAGCCCAAGATTTCTGCATAATCTCTCATCTGCCATTTATCTTTGTGTTGGCTAAAGTTTTGTTTCTTATAACAGTGACTGCATTGACTTTGTTTTAGTATCTATTTTTTTTTTAACTGCAAAAACTACCCAACAGCTATCTCTTTTCTTTGAAGAATTGCTCATCCCATTTTATGAAGCAAAACTAAACTAGAGGATCCATCTTTGGCCAGGTGAAATAACAATATCCTTCCTCATTTAAGCCCAGTGTGCAAGCTATTGCAAATCTACTCTTAGCACCACATTGCATTGCCATGCCATGCCAAACGGTGGTTTAGCCAATCTGAAATTTTAGATACTTCATTATTTTTCCATTGACCGTTCTGATGGCTGAACAATGACATGATACCATTATTTTGATTTGCTGCCAAGCCATTTTCCACTTCTGTGATTAGGAATGCAAGACATTTTCACCTGGTGATGCAAAGTTTAAATCTTTGGGAAATGACTTGGGCAGTACTAAAGCAATAAACTAATAAGGAAGATCATCAGCTAAGCATCTAAAAGCCAAATGTTAAACCTTTTAATTTAATCCTCTCCTGGAGCCAGTTTATTGCAATCTTTATAATTTGTGATTCAATATATTGGCTAGGTGGAGGAGAGAAGCTGAATCATACAGCAATATAGTTTGCAGAATATATTCATAATTCTTTGTACCCTTAGGTTTTCTGAACAGTAAATCAAATTGAATTGATTTCTGAAATTCAGTTTGACCTGATTTGAACCTTACAGCCAGACTGAAATGTTTCCCAGAACTACTGCTAATTCGTTTATTCAGTGATACTGACTGAGTATTTTTTTAATGTTAACCTTTTGCAGAGACAACCTCTTTGGTGTGTGTATGGGTACATATTTAAGAATATTTCTAATTTTCCTCCTTTTCTCTCATTTCTTTTTAACCAGACATTTGCAGAGCAAGTATTTGGCATTTTCAGTTGGACAATTCCAATTGCTGTAGCCTTGTCTTGTTTTGGTGGACTCAATGCATCTATTTTAGCATCATCTAGGTAAAGCATTTCTAATTGCAGTCTATCATATTCAAGTATGCAACTTTCCAAAGGAGAAGGAAGGGGAGAATCAAAATATAAATTGTGTTTTTGAAGGTACACATGACCTGTATCTACCTGGTTTCAATATTTCACATTCTGGTTTTGTCCTGAGTTCTGTAGGTGTAGTAAAGAAGCAAACGCTTTTTTTTATAACATATTAATAACAAAGTAGACGGGGCACAAAAATGTTTTTCGTAGTTTTGAGAAGAATACAAACTGCCTTAAGACCTACCCCCTTTCTATATATATTTGTGCCTTCTGTACAGACCTGCTTGCATTTACTTAGAACTGATTCTGTTTTGGATGCAAAGTTAAATATTTGAATTGTTCAGGATTATTTTGAATACAAGTTTTAGAGAAGGACAGGAAACAAAGAAAAAGTATAAGAGGACACAGAAGACAACATTGCATACAGCAAACAAAATTAGAAGCACTGAACAGGCGGACAAAGAAATGTCAAGCCAAATCTAAGGTCCATTTGACATTCAAGTCTATTGCAGGTCTTTCCTACATGACCATTTCTGCTAATCCAGTACAGCAAATGTATTGCATCGTTTTACTTTCTTTTTGTATAAAAGGAAGGCAAAGTGATGATTGGATTTATGATGCATGAAATCTTTACAGATATGTAGGAAGCCCCCAGTCATCTTGGATTCTCCTGGCTATAGCTTCTGATCACACAAATACAGCTTTGCCTTGTTTATAAAATAAATGTACATCTTTAAGGGGACATCTTGGGTGCGGTTCTTAGCTTCAGATTAGATGTGATGTAACTGTAGACTTGCATTTCTTTTTGTAGGCTGTTCTTCGTAGGATCCCGGGAGGGTCATCTGCCGGATCTTTTGTCAATGATCCATATAGGGAGGTTTACGCCAGTCCC